GGTACAGAAACCTTTGTTTGCAATTACAGAGATCATACGTTTCCTGTAGGTCTTGACCAGGTTTGCACACACTGCAGCAGGGATTTTGTCCCACTCCGCCATACAGACCTTCTCTAGATCCTTCACGTTTCGGGCTGTCGCTGGGAAATACGGACTTTCAGCTCCCTCCAAATATTTTCTATTGGGTTTAGGTCTGGAGACTGGCTAGTCCACTCCAGGACCTTGAGATGCATCTTACGGAGCCACTCCTTAGTTTCCCTGGCTGTGTGTTTCGGGTCGTTGTCATGCTGGAAGACCCAGCCACGACCCATCTTCAATGCTCTTACTGAGGGAAGGAGGTTGTTGGCCAAGATCTCGCGATACATGGCCCCATCCATCCTCCCCTCAATACGGTGCAGTCGTCCTGTCCCCTTTGCAGAAAAGCATCCCCAAAGAATAATGTTTCCACCTCCATGCTTCACGGTTGAGATGGTGTTCTTGGGGTTGTACTCATCCTTCTACTTCCTCCAAACACGGCGAGTGGAGTTTAGACCAAAAAGCTCTATTTTTGTCTCATCAGACCACATGACCTTCTCCCATTCCTCCTCTGGATCATCCAGATGGTAATTGGCAAACTTCAGACGGGCCTGGACATGCGCTGGCTTGAGCAGGGGTACCTTGCGTGCGCTGCAGGATTTTAATGCATGGCGGCATAGTGTGTTACTAATGGTTTCCTTTGAGACTGTGGTCCCAGCTCTCTTCAGGTCATTGACCAGGTCCTGCCGTGTAGTTCTGGGCTGATCCCTCTCCTTCCTCATGATCATTGATGCCCCACGAGGTGAGATCTTGCATGGAGCCCCATACCGAGGGTGATTGACCGTCATCTTGAACTTTTTCCATTTTCTAATAATTGCGCCAACAGTTGTTGCCTTCTCACCAAGCTGCTTGCCAATTGTCCTGTAGCCCATCCCAGCCTTGTGCAGGTTTACAATTTTATCCCTGATGTCCTTACACAGCTCTCTGGTCTTGGCCATTGTGGAGAGGTTGGAGTCTGTTTGATTGAGTGTGTGGACAGGTGTCTTTTATACAGGTAACGAGTTCAACAGGTGCAGTTAATACAGGTAATGAGTGGAGAACATGAGGGCTTCTTAAAGAAAAACTAACAGGTCTGTGAGAGCCGGAATTCTTACTGGTTGGTAGGTGATCAAATACTTATGTCATGCAATAAAATGCAAATGAATTACTTAAAAATCATACAATGTGATTTTCTGGATTTTTGTTTTAGATTCCGTCTCTCACAGTTGAAGTGTACATATGATAAAAAATACAGACCTCTACATGCTTTGTAAGTAGGAAAACGTCCACAGCCTCATAGAGGATCTAGATACATTTTCTAACCACTCTGGATTACAACCAAATTATGATAAATGTACTATATTACGTATTGGATCACTAAAAAATACAATTTTTACATTACCATGTAGTTTACCTATAAAATGGTCGGATGTTGATGTGGATATACTCGGAATACATATCTCAAATGAAATAAATGATCTCACTCCAATAAATTTCAATAGAAAGTTAGCAAAAATAGATAAGATCTTGCTACCATGGAAAGGTAAATACCTGTCAATTTGTTCAAAAATCACCCTGATTAACTCTTTAGTATTATCCCAGTTTACCTATTTGCTAATGGTCTTGCCTACGCCTAGCGAACAGTTTTTTAAATTATATGAGAAAAAAATATTTCATTTTATTTGGAACGGCAAGCCAGATGAAATTAAACGGGCCTATTTATATAATGAATATGAATTTGGAGGACAGAAATTATTAAATATTAAAGCATTAGACCTATCACTAAAAGCGTTATTCATACAAAAGTTATACTTAAATCCGAACTGGTTCTCTAGGAAATTAGTAAGATTGTCTCACCCAATGTTCAAGAATGGCATTTTTACCTTTATTCAGATTACAACCTCTCACTTTAAATTATTTGAAAAGGAAATAATCTCCCAAATATCACTATTTCTAAAACAAGCCATAGAAAGTTGATTGCAATTTCAATTTAATCCTCCAGAAACGACAGAACAAATAATGCAACAAATATTGTGGTTAAACTCAAATATACTAATTGATTAACATTTTTATTTTTATAAAATGTTTAAAAAAGGTATAATCTTCGTAAATGATATTATCGGTATGACTGGTGGAGTTATGTCGCACATGCAGCTAACAAAAACATATGGAAATGTCTGCTCTACCCAAAATTACAACCAAATAATTGCAGCATTACCGCAAAATTGGAAAAGGAAAGTGGAAGGGGGTAAAAGTAAGGAACTTGTCTGTCGGCCCTGCATTAAAGAATATCATTGGAGAAAATTGTGATAAATAAAAAAGCATACCAGTTTCATTTAAGGACCAAAGGATTGACAGCCGTCCCATATAGATTGCAAAATAGTTGGGAATAGATTTTTGACGTACCGATTCCATGGCATAGTGTTTATGAATTGATTCGCAAAACGACGCCGGATTCAAAACTTAGAATTTTTCAATTTAAATTATTATATAAAATTCTTGCTACCAATAGAATGTTATTAATAGAATGTTATCATATCAGTATGGATGACGGATCACCACCTCAAGCTGAACCTTGGCAAGACGGAGCTGCTCTTCCTCCCGGGGAAGGACTGCCCGTTCCATGATCTCGCCATCACGGTTGACAACTCCGTTGTGTCCTCCTCCCAGAGTGCGAAGAGCCTTGGCGTGACCCTGGACAACACCCTGTCGTTCTCCGCTAACATCAAGGCGGTGACCCGATCCTGCAGGTTCATGCTCTACAACATTCGGAGAGTACGACCCTGCCTTACACAGGAAGCGGCACAGGTCCTAATCCAGGCACTTGTCATCTCCCGTCTGGATTACTGCAACTCGCTGTTGGCTGGGCTCCCTGCCTGTGCCATTAAACCCCTACAACTCATCCAGAATGCCGCAGCCCGTCTGGTGTTCAACCTTCCCAAGTTCTCTCACGTCACCCCGCTCCTCCGCACACTCCACTGGCTTCCAGTTGAAGCTCGCATCAGTTACAAGACCATGGTGCTTGCCTATGGAGCTGTGAGGGGAACGGCACCTCCGTACCTTCAGGCTCTGATCAGTCCCTACACCCAAACGAGGGCATTGCGTTCATCCACCTCTGGCCTGCTGGCTCCCCTTCCTCTGCGGAAGTATAGTTCCCGCTCAGCCCAGTCAAAACTGTTCGCTGCTCTGGCACCCCAATGGTGGAACAAGCTCCCTAACGACGCCAGGACAGCGGAGTCACTCACCACCTTCCGGAGACATTTGAAACCCCACCTCTTTAAGGAATACCTGGGATAGGATAAAGTAATCCTTCTACCCCCCCCCCCCCCCCCCCCTAAAAAAACAAAAAAACAAAAAAAAAGATTGTGAAGTGGTTATCCCACTGGCTATAGGGTGAATGCCTCAATTTGTAAGTCGCTCTGGATAAGAGCGTCTGCTAAATGACGTAAATGTAAATGTAAAATTTATATGGGGAATACAATCTTCCCAGCTCTGCAGATTTTGCTGCGGAGAGACAGAATCATTCGATCATTTGTTTTGGTACTGTCCATTTGTAGCTTGTTTTTGGACACAGGTCCAGGAATGGCTAAAGGATTGCAATATTTACCTGGAGCTAACACTGCAGATAGCACTACTGGGTGATCTGAAAAGTCATAGTCAATCGATCAATAATATGATAATACTTTTAGCAAAAAATTGTATTTTCAATTTACGATCTGTAGAAACAATGAGAATAGAAAGGTTCAGAACCTTTGTAAAACATCACAGTACAGTTGAAAAATATATGGCAAATAGAAATCCAATATGGATGGTGTTAAGAGATAGATGGGATGTGTTGAATGGAGCTGAAGGATGGGACTAATAACAACAACTAATAACAACAAGATAACTAATGTAAAGCATACTGTGTCCATAATAAGTATATAGGTTATAGGTTGAGAGCTTTTGTGAAAGAACACACAATCCAATCCAGGGCTTGATGGTTTTAAGCTATCAGGGGAAATGCTTGAAGCCTCAACTGTGTTTGGGCCTGAATGTCTGATCCCCTCTACTGTGACGTTCAGAGTCTATGTCCAAACAGTAAAAACAATATAATCAAATCAAATCAACTTTTATTGGTCACATACACATATTTTGCAGATATTATCGCAGGTGCAGCAAAATGCTTATGTTTGTAACTCCAACAGTGCAGTATACCTAACAATACAAAACAATACACACAAATCCCTCAAATAAAAATTAAGAAATTAAGAAATATCAGAACGAGCAATGTCAGAATATTTCTGTGTAAACTTAAACGGCTAAAACCAGATATAAAGTATGGAGAAAAGGTAATGGACCTATATCTTATTAAATAAGATCAACTAACAATCACCAAAATAAAAGCTAGACAGTCAGGGAGAAATACGTTTTCAGTCACAATTTGGGGGCTCACCGAGTTGTGTGACATGTCATGTTGTGTGGTTCTGACACTGCGGAAATGTTGTTGTCCCAAACTATACTGTAGGTTTATGGTTTCTGGGATGGTTCAGAAAGTGTTGCTGGTGCAGAATGCCTGTGGGGATGATTTGGGTGTTTTTCTGTTGCGATTGTATTGGCTGAAATGACAGGCGTGTATGCTAGCTACTCACTTTGTGTCCATACATTTGACAGGCAGAACTCATTAGAAAGTGGGCGCTGGGTTTTGTGCTGTTTGTTTTCTTGGCAGAACAAAATCAGTTTAAATGACTGCTCTGTCTCTGTGTGTGTGTGTGTGCGTGCGTGTCTGTATGTGTCTATGCCTGTGTGTGTGCCTGCTTGCAAGCATTTGGTAGAATTGATTAACTTTGTGTGATCTCTTGGCAGAACAGAATCAGTTTGAATGACTGGTCTGTATACCTCTATGCGTGTGAGCATTGGCAGAACTCATTAACTAACCTGTCTCTGTGTGTTTTCTCTCTCTCAGGGGCTGGGGGAGGCTTCAGCGAGAGGGACAGCCATGGACAGAGACTGTCTCAGCTGCATCAAATACCTAATGTTTGTCTTCAATTTTCTCATCTTCGTAAGTATTCTCCTTACACCCTATATTATAAGCTAATAATAATAATAATAATAATAATAATAATAATAATAATAATAATAATAATAATAATATGCCATTTAGCAGACGCTTTTATCCAAAGCGACTTACAGTCATGTGTGCATAAATTTTTACGTATGGGTGGTCCCGGGGATCGAACCCACTACCCTGGCGTTACAAGCGCCATGCTCTACCAGTGTCCTCCTATATACAGTACACTGTATATACTCCTGTACGTCCTATATATCCTCATATGGTAGCTACTGTATCTAACAATAATCTTTCCATTTCAGGTTACTGCTTTTATTGAACACCCTTCCCTCCTCTCTCTCCCGTGGTCTCACATGTATTTAATAAGATAGAGGGAGGCATTGTTTATTCTATTAAAATCAATATTTACAGTTCCACTGGGTATGCAGCTTGCAATTGACATTTTGGTTGATTAGTTTTGATCAGACAATCAAAGGTAACTCCAGAGGGAGCCAATAACTGGGGGTTTGGGAGTAGTGGTGAGGAGGGTCATATAATTAAATTTAGTGGGGAGGGTTGAATATCTGCTCAGTAGCAACCAGTGATTGTTACCATGTCCATTCCTTTGTTTATACTCTCAGACAATTCCACCCTCCCATGAGACAACACTCTCAATCTGTCCTTCAGTGCATCCAAAATGGTTGCCTCTATAGCTCTAACCTCTGCCTTTGAGCCTTTGACAGATTTTTTATGTGACATTTATTGAAAGAAGCTCAGGTTTTTTCCCAGGAGGAAGGTGATGGTGTGAGGATGAGTGTGTGAAGCTCATATCTCTACCCCCTCCTCTCCTTTCCTCCGTATCCCCCTTTTCCTAATCACTAAAGAGTCACCCACTGGTGCTGCAGATAGGGTTTAGTGAAAGAGGGAGGATGGAGAGAAGAATGCTCAGGGGGGAGGAATGGAGGGAAGGGTGGATTCACTTTGAGAGGTAGAGGAAAGGGGGCAAAGGCAGTTAGCTGAAGCCCCCCACTGAAATACCTTACATTGCCTTGAGAAAGTATTTATACCCCTTGATTTATTTCACATTTTGTTGTGTTACAACCTGAATTTAAAATTGATTAAATATATGTTTTTTCTTACCCATCTACACACAATACCCCATAATGACAAAGTGAAAACATGTTTTTAGACATTTTAGCAAAATTATTGAAAATGAAAAACAGAAATATCTCATTTACATAAGTCTTCACACCAATGAGTTAATAGGTGTTAAAATCACCTTTGGCAGCAATTACAGCTGTGAGTCTTTCTGGGTACGTCCCTAAGTGCTTTGCACACCTGAATTGAATAATATTTGCCCATGATAATTTTCAAAATTCTTCAAGCTCTGTCAAATTGATTGTTGATCATTGCTAGACAACCATTTTCAAGTCTTGCCATAGATCTCCAACCAGATTTAAGTCAAAATTCTAACTCGGCAACTCTGGAACATTCACTGTCTTCTTGGTAAGCAACTCCAGTGTAGATTTGTCCTTGTGTTTTAGGTTATTGACCTGCTGAAAGGTGAATTCATCTTTCAGTTTCTGGTGGAAAGCAGACTGAACCAGGTTTTCCTCTAGGATTTTTCCTGTGCTTAGCTCCATTCCGTTTCTTTATTATCCTGAAAAATTCCCCAGTCCTTAACGATGACACGCATACCAATACATGATGCAGCCACCACTATGCTTGAAAATATGGAGAGTGGTACTGTTATGGAAATTCTACACCATGTCGTGGAAATTACCACTAGGGACACTCAAAGTAAATCTTAAATGAATCATTGTTTTTTGTCAGCGTGCTGGAGAGGTTCCACCCAACTCAATGCACCATATGTACACATGTCGACCAGGAGCTCTGCTGGGGAAGTCCCAGCAGTTGTCTTATATACGGCTATAAACAGACAAGTTATATTTGCATGATTTAGCATAATACATTCATCATTAGCGTTTTGTTTCATTCATGTGACCGACCAATACTGGTTCATAACATGTGACAGACCAACACCTCACGAGGCTTCTTCTCTCTAAGCTGAGACCTTGAAACTGAGATATCTTTCGTTCTCAAAACAAGGTCTGGGCGTACTGCCAAATTGCAGATACTGATAAGTAAGGATTCGTTCAATCAGTCACTTGCATGAACACAGACATTGGTTATTAGAACAGCACATGAATAGAACACAGAAATTAGTTATTAGAAAGGCACAAACATTAAAATTTCCATCACAGTACTTAGAAATGTGTTGTATTGGATTTGCCCCAAACATTACTTTAGTGTCTTGTTGCAGGATGCATGATTTAGAATATTTTTATTCTGTACAGGCTTCCTTCTTTTCACTCAATTAGGTTAGTATTGTGGAGTAACTACAATGTTGTTGATCCATCCTTAGTTTTCTGCTATCCCAGCAATTAAACTCTGGAACAGTTTTAAAGTTACCATTGGCCTCATGGTGAAATCCTTGAGCGGTTTCCTTCCTCTCTGGCAACTGTGTTAGAAAGGATGACTGTATCTCTGTAGTGACTGGGTTTATTGATACTCCATCCAAAGTGTAATTAAAAACTTCACCATGTTCAAAGGGATATTCAATGTCTGCTTTTTTATTTTTACCCATCTACCAATAGGTGCCCTTCTTTGCAAGACATTGGAAATCCTCCCTGGTCTTTGTGGTTGAATCTGTCTTTGAAATTCACTGCTCAACTGAGGAACCTTACAGATAATTGTATGTGTGGGGTACAGAGATGAGGTACTCATTACAAAATCATGTTAAACACTATTATTGCACACGGAGTGAGTCCATGCAACTTATTATGTGACTTGTTCAGCACATTTTTACTCCTGAACTTATTTAGGCTTGCCATAACAAAGGGGTTGAATACTTATTGACTCAAGACATTTCAGCTTTTCATTTTGAATTCATTTGTAAATTATGGGATATTGTGTGACAATATTTTAAATTCAGGCTGTAACACAGCAAAATGTGGAAAAAGGCAAGGGATGTGAATACTTTCTGAAGGCACTGTATATGCCTTAACCCACCCCCTGCTGTGGCATAAAGACTACAGATAGGCTTATTCTCACTGAATAGATTTATCAGGATTAAATGTCAATTTACATAATATGTACGTACACTTTGCAATTCTACATTAGCGTAGGGAATGTCAAGTGCCAAGAGAGGGTTCGGTTGCCGTTCTTGCTTCATAGCTCAAAAGTACCGTAAATGTCACAGTAGCCAGGAGGCTAAGCATTACAAACTGTTCAACTAACATTAGCTAGCTACCAGCTAACATTAAGCAAGCAATTCTTCATGCATCTACCATATTAAACTCTTAATTATTGCAACAAAACCATATTACACTCTTGAATAACGCAACAATTCACAAACATATGCAGACAATTAAAGGGTTTTCCCGTCTTTACACTCATTATGTTTTAGCTTCAAGACAAAAGCACAGAGTTACTGCTAGCTAAAGCTTCATCAAGTAACGTTAGCTTACAAAAAATGAATGATTACCCCTCTAATACAAATATAAAAGTACAGTAGGGCTAACTTACAACATTACAACAAACCATGCTTAATTTTTAGCAATATCATGCAAATCATTAGGCTATGTGTAAAAAGCAAATTACAACTGAAAACGTGGGTATAATTCACCGGGGAGTTGACAGCGATACATATAAATAATACATGTAGGTTATGTTTCTCAATTTGTGGCGATTTCCATCATTTTCACATTGCAGAGATCAGCACAGCAGTACATGTGGCGAGCTAGCATTTGCCCCAGCACTTTTGATTCAGTTTAATAAAAAATATAGACACAAAAGCGTTGAAAAGAGGGACAAAGTAATGTTGTTTAGACTGATTTGTTTGACAGTTTTTTCATGATTTAATCCTCCCTAGTGCCAGGAGTTTTTCCAGGAGTAAAAAAAACAACATATGACCTGATTAGAATAATTCTGGTCCCATCATAGCCCATATAAAACAATTTTTTACAGCTGATTTATTACTATTTCATACCCATAGTTTTCCATGGTTAGGTTAGCCTACCAGATCAGGAAAAGCTCTGGGCCCCAGGAAAACAATTTCCACCCCACCCCTCTGGGACCTGTGGTGCCACCTCTGAAATCAACACACAATGTTACAAATGAAAAAACACATTTTATTTGTATGATCTACTATCTAAAATCTTTTACTTTCATAGTTTGACATGCGTACTTTCCGAAGGCACTGTATATATTTTTTAATCGTCCCTTTCTTTATCTCTACTCTTCCCTATATCTCTCCCTCTCCACCATCCCTCTCCCCACCCCCTACAGTTTATGAAACATTTAATGAAAGAGCAGAATCGTAAGTGTTGATTTAACCCCTTTACTCAGTGGTTATACCCCATCCTGGTCACTTATTTTACCCTTGCCTGGCTTCCCCAAACCCACTTCCATGTGTCGGTAGTACTACTTTAAATGCATTCCCTCACTCTCTGTTTGTCTTAGCAGGTCAGAAAGCCACAGACATTTCCACACGGTAATAAACCGTTTTCTTTATTGGTGGGGACTTTCTTTTGTGGAAGTGGGTGAACGATGCTAGGAGTCTCCGTCTCCATATTTACAGACCACAGAGATCCCTGTTTGTCAAGCAGCTGGCAACGAAAGTGGAGAGGTTTCTATGGCAGAGAGGTGGGCAGGGCATTCAGGGCTGATGGAAATTTGGAAGAATGGCTGAGGAAGCAGCCAGCTCTACACCAGCGACTCCTCTCAGAGGTGGGAATATCCCCCAGAGACTGCTCTTGGCTTGCTATGACTTTTCATTGAAGCCTTCAACATTCAGTTACTTTGCCAAACTACCACGTAAGGAACACACAACATTTGACATGTTACTCCCCTGCAAGGGGTATACAAACGTAACAGATCGGTAATATGAAAGAGCTGAAAGTGATCTCTTGGGTGAACAGTTGCAAAGATAGGGAGACTAGACCAGAGCCAGAGACACCATTTAGAGGGAGCGCTGGGAAGGTTTCTACTTTTATGTTGCTTTCTCAGATAAACCTCTCACTTACTACTCTAGTCTGAGCTCAGTGCTGACTCAAGTTCCTCCTCCCACAGACTTCCTCAGGATTTACTACAGAGCCAGTGACACTCTGGCATACAGTCATCATGTAAATGTACACTTTTATAGCTGATAAGATAGACATGGAGCCAATATGGAGGAGTCATGTGCAAAGATTTCAGTACTGTATACAAAAAGTAGAGGTTGTGACAGTGATTTAACTCTCTCCCTCCCTCCCTCCCTCTTTTGTGAGGTTTTCATAAGCCCCTGTTAGGTTTCCTACCTCACCTGCACGTGTTCTCTATCTTCCATTAATTGTAATTATTATGTGCAGATAAACTAAACTTAACCCTCTCTCTCTCCCTCTTCCCCCCTCTCTCTCTCTCCCAGCTGGGAGGCTCCTTCCTCCTGGGTGTGGGGGTGTGGGTGCTAGTGGACCCTACAGGCTTCAGGGAGATCGTAGCAGCCAACCCTCTGCTCTTCACAGGAGTCTACATCATCCTGGTCATGGGGGGAATGCTTTTCCTACTGGGCTTCCTGGGCTGCTGTGGAGCCATCCGGGAGAACAAGTGTCTGCTGATGTTTGTAAGTAGACCTACACTGTGTTATATTCTAGAGTCATTCGGATAGTACATTAGGTCAGAGTGTTATAACAGTGTTATAAGAGGGTTATAAACATTCCTGGGCTGCTGTGGAGCCATCAGGGAGAACAAGTGTCTGCTGCTCTTTGAGAGAGAGAGAGAGAGAGAGAGAAAGAGAGAGAGAGAGAGAGACAAGAGAGAGAGAGATAAGAGAGAGAGATAAGAGATCGCTAGAGAGATCGCCTATAGATAGGCTCTCAGATAGATAGAGTACTAGATAGATCGCTATTCTCTCTCTCTCTCTCTCCTCTCTCGCTCTCTCTCTCTCATCTCTCTCTCGCTTAGAGTGTTAGTCATGCTGGCCTGAGATAGATGGAAAATAAATAAGACATAATAAAACAGAGAGTATATTTCATGCTGCCAATCATTTGCCTTCCGTGCACCAGGCCTCATGCATAGTTAATGTTGAGGTGAAGATTCCGATTTTTTTGTGACTCGCATTCACTTTTGCTGACACTCACTCTCTGTTACTCTCTCTCTCCCTTTATCTCTCTCCTCTCACTACATTTCTTGTCCACCCCCGCTCCCTCTCTCTCCCTCCCTCTCTCTCTCCTGTGTCCCTGCAGTTCTTCATGCTCATCCTGGTCATCTTCCTGGCGGAACTAGCTGCAGCCATCCTGGCCTTCATATTCCGGGAGCATGTGAATAGATTCTGTCCTTATGGATCCTATGTCCATCCACTGTAGTGTGCAAACACTGTCCCCTTTGTCATGGTGATACAGTAAAACCTCTGACCATACAGAACTAATACTAACATTCTCCATGTTCCTGTATAGCTGACCAGAGAGTACTTCACTAAGGAGCTGAAGAGGCACTACCAGGGCTACAACAACACTGATGTCTTCACTGGAACGTGGAACGCTATCATGAACACTGTAAGGCTAATATACTGTATTTGCTAAGATTGGGGTTAATTCCATTTCAATATACTAAATTCAAGTAAATTCCAATCAGTTTACTAACAGAATTGACTGACTTGAAATGGAATTGACCCCAACCCTGATACTTGCTGTTGGTAGACATATACAAAATACAATAATCTACTTAGCAGACATCTTCTTGGACATCTTCAACCTGTCCCAGTCCCAGGCTGTAGTCCCCACTTGCTTCAAGGGGACCATCATCGTCCCAGTGCCCAAGAAAAACAAGGTGACATGCCCAAATGACTATCACCACGTCACACTCACCCAGCTCATCATGAAGTGCTTCGAGAGGCTGGTCATGACTTTGCCATCGATACTATTGGCCAACGTACAATCGCTTGATAATAAAGTGGTAGAACTAGAAGCACGTATATCCTACCAACGGGACATAAAAAACTGTAATATCTTATGTTTCACCGAGTCGTGGCTGAACGACAACATGAATAACATACAGCTGGCAGGTTATACACTGTATCGGCAGGATAGAACAGCAGCCTCTGGTAAGACAAGGGATGGCGGTCTATGTATATTGGTAAACAACAGCTGGTGCACGATATCTAAGGAAGTCTCAAGGTTTTGCTAGCCTGAGGTAGAGTATCTCATGATAAGCTGTAGACCACACTATCTACCAAGAGAGTTTTCATCTATATTCTTCGTAGCTATCTATTTACCACCACAAACCGATTCTGGCACTAAGACCGCTCTCAATTAACTGTATACGGCCATAAGCAAACAGGAAAACGCTCATCCAGAGGCGGCGCTCCTAGTGGCCGGAGACTTTAATGCAGGGAAACTTAAATCCGTTTTACCTCATTTCTTCCAGCATGTTAAATGTGCAACCAGAGGGAAAAAAACTCTAGACCAACTTTACTCCACACACAGAGAAGCGTACAAAGCTCTCCCTCGCCCTCCATTTGGCAAATCTGACCATAATTATATCCTCCTGATTCCTGCTTACAAGCAAAAACTAAAGCAGGAAGCATCAGTGACTCGGTCAATAAAAAAGTGGTCAGATGAAGCAGATGCTAAGCTACAGGACTGTTTTGCTAGCACAGACTGGAATATGTTCCGGGATTCTTCCGATGGCATTGAGGAGTACACCAGATCAGTCACTGGCTTCATCAATAAGTGCATCGACTACGTCGTCCCCACAGTGACTGTACGTACATACCCCAACCAGAAGCCATAGATTACATGCAACATCCGCACTGAGCTAAAGGGTAGAGCTGCCGCTTTCAAGGAGCGGGACTCTAACACAGAAGCTTATAAGAAATCCTGCTATGCCCTCCGACGAACCATCAAACAGGCAAAGCGTCAATACAGGACTAAGATCATATCGTACTACACCGGCTCCGACGCTCGTCAGATGTGGCACGACTTGCAAACTATTACAGACTACAAAGGGAAGCACAGCCGCGAACTGCCCAGTAACACGAGCCTACCAGACGAGCTAAATTACTTCTATGCTCGTTTCGAGGCAAGTAACACTGAACCATGCATGAGAGTATCAGTTGTTCCGGACGACTGTGTGATCACGCTCTCCATAGCCATTATGAGTAAGACCTTTAAACAGGTCAACATTCACAAGGCCGCAGGGCCAGACGGATTACCAGGACGTGTACTCCGAGCATGCGCTGACCAACTGGCAAGTGTCTTCACTGACATTTTCAACCTCTCCCTATCTGAGTCTGTAATGCCAACATGTTTCAAGCAGACCACCATAGTCCCTGTGCCCAAGAACACTAAGGTAACCTGCCCAAATGACTACCGACCCGTAGCACTCACGTCTGTAGCCATGAAGTGCTTTGAAAGGCTGGTCATGGCTCACATCAACACCATTATCCCAGAAACCCTAGACCCACTCCAATTTGCATACTGCCCCAACATATCCACAGATGATGCAATCTCTATTGCGCTCCACACTGCCCTTTCACACCTGGACAAAAGGAACACCTATGTGAGAAGGATATTCATTGACTACAGCTAAGCGTTCAACACCATAGTGCCCTCAAAGCTCATCACTAAGCTAAGGACCCTGGGACTAAACACCTCCCTCTGCAACTGGATCCTGGACTTCCTGACGGGCCGCCCCCAGGTGGTAAGGGTAGGTAACAACACATCCGCCACACTGATCCTCAACACGGGGGCCCCTCAGGGGTGCGTGCTCAGTCCCCTCCTGTACTCCCTGTTCACTCATGACTGCATGGCCAGGCACGATTCCAACACAATCATTAAGTTTGCCAATGACACAACAGTGGTAGGCCTGATAACCGACAAAAACGAGACAGCCTATAGGGAGGAGGTTAGAGTCATGGCCGTGTGGTGCCACGCCAACAACCTCTCCTTCAATGTGATCAAGACAAAGGAGATGATTGTGGACTACAGGAAAAAGAAGAGGACAGAGCACGCCCCCATTCTCATCGACGGGCTGTAGTGGAGCAGGTTGAGAGCTTCAAGTTCCTTGGTGTCCACATCACCAACAAACTAACATGGTCCAAGCACACCAAGACAGTCATGAATAGGGCACGACAAAACCTATTCCCCCTCAGGAGACTGAAAAGATTTGGCATGGGTCCTCAGATCCTCAAAAGGTTATACAGCTGCACCATCGAGAGCATCCTGACTGGTTGCATCACTGCCTGATATGGCAACTGCTCGGCCTCCGACCGCAAGGCACTACAGAGGGTAGTGCTTACGGCCCAGTACATCACTGGGGCCAAGCTTCCTGCCATCCAGGACCTCTATGCCAGCCAGTGTCAGAGGAAGGCCCTACAAATTGTCAAAGACTCCAGCCACCCTAGTCATAGACTGTTCTCTCTGCTACTGCATGGCAAGCGGTACCGGAGCGCCAAGTCTAGGTCCAATCGGCTTCTAAACAGTTTCTACCCCCAAGCCATAAGACCCCTGAAAATCTAATCAAATGGCTACCCGGACTATTTTACGCTGCTGCTACTCTGTGTTTATTATCTAGGCATAGTCACTTTAATAACTCTACCTACATGTACCTATTACCTCAATTACCTCGACTAACCTGTACCCCCGCACATTGACTCAGTACCGGTACCCCCTGTATATAGCCTCGCTATTATTATTTTACTGCTACTCTTTAATTTTTTGTTACTTTTAATTCTTCTTATTTTTTTATTTAATGTTTTATTTTTTTAATTTTTTTAAATTCTTTCTTAAAATTGCATTGTTGGTTAAGGGCTTGTAAGTAAGCATGTGACAAAAACATTGATTTGATTTAACATTTGATTTGATTTGATGGCCCACATCAAGGCCAGCATGCCAGGCACTCTGGACCCACTCAAATCTGCCTACTGCTCCAACAGATCCACGGAAGATGCTATTTCCGTCGCTATTCACACGGCGCTAACACATCTGGACAAGAGAAAGACCTATGGGAGAATGCTGTTCATTGACTACAGTTCAATATTCTAAACTATTGTTCCCTCCAAGATCGAAACCAAGCTCAGAGCCCTGGGTCTGGACACCACCCTCTGCAACTTGATCCTGAACTTCCTGACGGGCAGACCACAGGCTGTGAGGATTAGCAACAACACCTCCTCCACGCTGACTCTTCACACAGGGGCCCTTCAGGGGTGTGTCCTCAGCACTCTGTACTCCCTGTTCACCCACGACTGCGTGGCTTTGCACGACAACAACTTCATCATCAAGTTTGCTGAGGATACCATGGTTGTAGACCTGATAACCAACAACGACAAGTCAGCCTAGAGGGAGGAGGTAAGTGAACTGGCATTGTGGTGCCAAGACAACAACCTCTCCCTCAAAGTCAACAAAACAAAGGAGTTGATTGTAGACTTCAGGAAGCAGATGAGGGAACATGCCCTGATCCACATCAATGGCACTGCAGTAGAAAGAGCCAGGAGTCTTAAGTTCCTCGGCGTCCACATCACTTAGGACTTGACATGGACCAACAACACCACCACTCTTGTCAAGAGGGCGCAACAGCATCTCTACTTCATAAGGCGGCTGAAGAAATTTGGCATGCCACCCCAGGTCCTCTCCAAATACTGCAGCTGCACCATCGAGAGCGTCCTGACCAGTTGCATCACGGCCTGGTACGGGAATTGCTCTGTGCACGACCACAAGGCCCTCCAGCCGGTGGTGAAGACGGCCTAGTACATCACTGGGACCGTGCTCCCACCCATCCAGGACATACAGTGCATTCGGAAAGTATTCAGACCCCTTGACTTTTTCCACATTTAGTTACGTTACAGACTTATTCTAAAATTGATCAAATAAAATAAAATCCTAATTAATCTACACACAATACCCCATAATGACAGCGAAAATAGGTTTTTAGAAATGTTTGCAAATGTATAAAAAAATAAAAAAAAATAAACTGAAATACCTTATTTAAATAAGTATTCAGACCCTGTGCTATGAGACTCGAAATTGTGCTCAGGTGCATCCTGTTTCCATTGAGCATTTTTGAGATGTTTCTACAACTTGATTGGAGTCCACCTGTGGTAAATTCAATTGATTGGACATGACTTGGAAAGGCACACACCTGTCTATATAAGGTCCCACAGTTGACAGTGCATGTCAGAGCAAAAACCCAGCCATGAGATCGAAGGAATTGTCCGTAGAGCTCCGAGACAAGATTGTGTCGAGGCACAGATCTGGGGAAGGGTGCTACAAAAATTCTGCAGCATTGAATGTCCACAAGAACACAGTGGCCTCCATCATTCTTAAATGGAAGACGTTTGGAACCACCAAGACTCTTCCTAGAGCTGGCTGCTGGGCCAAACTGAGCAATCGGGGGAGAAGGGCCTTGGTCAGGGAAGTGACCAAGAAACCGATGGTTACTCTGACAGAGCTCCAGAGTTCCTCTGTGGATATGGGAGAACCTTCCTGAAGGACAACCATCTCTGCAGCACTCCACCAATCAGGCGTTTATGGTAGAGTGGCCTGACTGAAGCCACTCCTGAGTATTTTGCCAAAAGGCACCTAAAGGACTCTCAGACCATGAGACACAAGATTCTCTGGTCTGATGAAACCAAGAAGTGTCACGTCTAGAGGAAACCTGGCACCATCCCTACGGTGAAGCATGGTGGTGGCAGCATCATGCTGTGGGGATGTTTTTCAGTGGCAGGGACTGGGAGACTAGTCAGGATCGAGGGAAAGATGAACAGAGCAAAGTACAGAGAGATCCTTGATGAAAACCTGCTTCAGAGCGCTCAGGATCTCTGACTGGGGCGAAGGTTCACCTTCCAACAGTTCAACGACCCTAAGCACAGAGCCAAGACAACGCAGGAGTGGCTTCGGGACAAGTCTCTGAATGTCCTTGAGTGGCCCAGCTAGAGCCCGGTCTTGAAACCGATCAACACCTCTGGAGAGACCTGAAAATAGTTCTGCAGCGATGTTCCACATCCAACCTGACAGAGCTTGAGAGGATCTGCAGAGACGAATGGGAGAAACTCCCCAAATACAGGTGTGCAAAGTTTGTAGCGTCATACCCAAGACTCAAGGTTGTAATCGCTGCCAAAGGTGCTTCAACAAAGTACTGAGTAAATGTGATATCAATAAGGGATCATAGCTTTCACCTGGATTCATCTGGCCAGTCTATGTCATGGAAAGAGCAGGTGTTCTTAATGTTTTGTATACTCAGTGTAATTTACCCACCTCTCCTCTCCTCCCCAGTTTGACTGCTGTGGAGTGAACAGCCCGGAGGACTTTGAGGAGAGCCTGTTCAGACTGATCAACCCCAATGAGATGGTCCCTGCGGCATGCTGCAGGAGGGGTAGTCACCCCGGAGACTCAGCCTACATCTCCCAGAAGGAGTGTCTGATGGGGAACATGCTGTTCAGAAACAACAAGGTTGGTACTGGTACTAGACTACTACAAAACACTACTATGAACCCTTTAGCCTTTTGGACCATGTAATAATCTTTATTGACCCATTCAACAAAGACAATGGACCTGAAATAGAGCAGAGCAGGACCTCCAGAGCAGGGCCCCTAGAGCAGTACCCACAGAACAGGTAGTACATCAGGAGGTACAGCACATCAGCTGTAGGTGGCACCTGAGATATCTGGCATCCCTCCACATTCCTACCCTAGGATTTGAACTGGCTACTGTCGTGACGTGACTTTCATTATTGTGATGACTATTATTTATCAAATAATTACCTACTCTGTTTAATTGTTACTAGATTAATTTAATCACGTAACAATTAACTCATTAGGAATTTGGGGCACCACAGGAAAGGTTGTTTAACGAGTTACCGTTTCCCAAATTAACTCTAAAGATATCTAGATATCTCTTATCATTTAACCATCATATATTAATCATTTACCTCATATCAGTCTCATTCTGAAAGTCGTAGGCTCTTTAAGTCTGACCGAACCCAGGTCTTACTGATCATTCTGTACCACACAAATTGATTTAATTATTTACTTACTAACTAATTAAAAATGATAACACAAGATACAAACACGTAAACGGTATAGGTAGGGATTAGAAACTTAATACAATTAAAATGGTTCCCTACCGGACTAACACAATATGACACTTGTTACAAAAGATGGCGAGTTAAACAGAGAGAGAGATAACACTTGGATACACATGGACCTACACTCACAGTTATCTTAATACTTTGCCCCGAACTGCCACCCGTTTGGGAAGAAAAGCAATGCATGTATTTACGTGTTGGAGGTCTTCGTCGTGTATCTCTGTTGGACCAAGTCTTTCGGGGGAAGGGGTCGATTGGGCCTTCTTTTTCTGAATGCTTTTTAGATGTAAGGCTCAGATTGTCCACAAGAGGTTACAATGTCCTTCTTCTTAGTTATCTGTTTACTTTCACACGTTCTGGAAGTGGTCTTCTGAGGACGGCTAATCAGCCGTGTCGATGATCCCCTGTGGGGTGATGAGAGCAGTGTAGTAGACAATGTTTTGACATTTTCCATATTCCATTTCTCATCATTCCCAACATTGTTGTTGTTGAAATATATTGTCCCAATGTTCATTGCTGGATGTTGAAGTTTTTGGGCGGAAAAAGTCTCTAAAACAAAGGCATCCTTTTCACCATACTAGAGTGCCAGAGATAGATTCTCCGCTCTAATTTATGGCAATGTTAAGGTGTCAAGACCCCCCCCCCCCCCCCCCCCCCCCCCCCCCGGGTCAGAGGTTCTTGTTGGTGTCGGCCATTTGCCAAGCTTATGTGAGGCCTTCGATCCTCACCCAGGGAGAGTCATGACACTACCTTCCAGTTGCTGGTTCGGCGCTCTAACCTCGAGGCTACCGCTGCCCCCTCTCCACACTGGGAGACGAAACCCTCCTCTGGCCTATCAGCTAGAGTGTGTGTTGGAGTGATGATATAATGTAGACTGCTTCTCTACTGGCACTGTCCTCATACCGGTAGACTGATTTGTGCTTTTCTATGTTCGGGTGTCAAGGAAGTATGTTTTACTGTGTATTGTAGAGTAGGGTAGAGTAGGGCAGTGTGTGTGTGTGTGTGTGTGTGTGTGTGTGTGTACTTATGCATGCTTGTGTTTGACTATGTAGATTGGAGTAGGGTAGGGTAGTTCGGGCGTGGAGGAGGGTAGGGAAGTGGGCGTGCATGTGTGCGTATGTGTAGGGAGAAACATACAGTATTTAGCCATATTGACAAATGGATTTAGCCATATTGACAAACGGAATGCACACGTTTGTGTGCTTGTGTGTGCGGGTGTATATTTATCTCTGTGTGTGCTTGCCTGTTTTAATGACTGTCTTGAGAGTGAAATGTAATTACAGTGAACACTGATAGGAAGGAGAGGCTCCAACTGTTGTTGTTAAGGCCTGTGGAACAATGCAGTATCTCCGGAAGGCGTCTGTCTCTCCCTGTCTCTCTCTCATTCACACACAGAGCCTCATTAAAAGCCAATGAGGCCAGGGGCCCTGTCTCAGTCTGTCTCTCAGCCCATTCATCTAGTCTATTGTTCACTGACGCATTCAGTTATGGCTCTGATGCTATTTATATTGTCCATGGATTTCAGCACACACACACACACACACACACACACACACACACATGCAGGCACAAGTGCAAGTGTACGCATGCACACACACACACACACACACAGATACAGACACACACACACACACACACACACATACACACATACAAACACACACATTTCAGCACTCTCTCAAATTGACTCATAATATTGAATTGTGACTGAGACTATTTCCTCTCTGTGTGTCTTCAGGGCTGCTACTCAGCGGTGGTGGACTACTTTGAGCTGTACATCTATGTGGCTGGAGCGCTGGCCATCGTGGTGCTCACCATCGAGGTAGGATTTCTTATAATAAACGCATTGTGAGTAGCCTCCAAATCAACAAGTTTTTCCTTATCAGTTGATGTGATTGGTAATGTAAGCGGTTTAGAAAAATCCATGTAGCTTATCTCCCCCACACACAGTACACAGCAACGGAATCTGAAATACTGGAGAATACATTGTTTGAAGCAAGTGCTGGTCACTTCCCCGTTTATAGTACGAATACCCCACTTAGTGGAGAATATTGGTGTTGCAGGACTGTTACACACCATACATTACATAGGATAACTTACTGAGGAGGCATCTCTGAAGTCATAACTATGGATATGGCAATCTATTCGATTTATTAGGTCAAGCCAGAGCTGAATTGTCTAATCATCTGCATGTAGATAGTTTGGTTTATTTTGTTTAGTTTCATCATCATCGTTTGGCTGCAGAACAGTCGACCAGTTTAGGCTAGCAGCATTTAAACACTTACTTGTGTCTTGTTCTCTGTCCTGACTGCTGTTCTGTCACTCCTCTGTTCTTCTCCACAGCTGTTTGCCATGGTCTTTGCCATGTGTCTCTTCAGAGGTATCCAGTAGGAATACTGCACCGCATGCCGGACAGGAGGACTTTTTGGAGCTAGAAATCAGGAGAAGGGAAAGAAAAATGTACACTTGTAAATGTATTGTTCTCTTTTATATCTGCAAAATTGATTGGTTGGAAAACAAACAAACAAAACAACACTCAGAAAACAAACAACTAGTACTTCTCAGCTGGACCTTTGAGGTACTTGGTGACAAAAAAAAGAAAGGATAGAAAGACAAAAAGACAAGAACGACAGGAAAAAAAAAAAAAAACGTATGTAAAGTGCTTTGTGTGTAAAGTGAAACAGATGTTTCGTGGACCAGGTCTAACATGGACCGGGTGTATAGTAGTGGAACCAGGCGTGGCGAAGAGGACCTGGGTGAAACCAGGTGTTGTGAATAAGAGGACCTGGTTGAAGCCTGCCCTGTAGCAGAAGTAGCTTGAGACCCAGATCTGTTTGTGCTGTCTTGCTAGCTAACTGGGACTCAGGCTAGAGCAGAAGGCACTGCACTGACTTTTGGATGAAGAATATTTATACTTACTGAGTAAAAGGTTGGCTTGACTGTAATATAGAAATATGTGTTTTATGTACAATTTGGCTGTTCCTTCCTATTACCCCTTCCTCCCTCCGCCGACCCCCCGCCCTTCCATCTACTGCAACCCCACTCCCTCCCTCCCTCACACTTTCCCACTCCCTCCCTCCACTAACTATTATTAGAGCCACACCTCTTTAATGCTGCAAAAAGCCCCATCTATAGTGTGTGTGTGTGTCCATCCTTGTATGAATGAGTGCATGTGTGCATGTTGCCTCTTTTTGACCATCTTCAAGCTTGAAAGCCATCTTCTGATAAAATATTGTATTTGTATTGTGATGTTCATTGCAATAGTGGTTACATGTGGCTTAGGTGAAAATAAATGTATGTGTATGCATTTGTATTAGATTCTTGAAAAGATAATGACATTAAAATGGCATTCTAAAATGTTTTCCATGTGGTGAATTCCTTTCTAACGCATTTAAAAGTATGTACCCGGTAAAGCAGGATAGAAGGCCTAGTCAGATACTTTTTGGCAAGGGCGTAGGAAGACTTTTATTTAGAAAAACTAGTTGCCAGATTTGTTGAGGGACTTTTTCTCACTCTCAGTTGTTACAAGCAGTGGAGCCCGTGGAGGTGGTACTTAAGGACGGCTCGGAGTTTGAGTGTTTGTGGAGAAGCAAAACAGAATTAATCGTTCTATATTGTGGTAGGCGGTTTAGCAACAGCTGTGCTGGACTGTTGTCGACATGGATGATAGTTCTGATGGAATGGGTGGGGATGATGAAAGTCATGGACCTGGATGGTCTGTGGTGAAAGGAAAATAATGGCCCTGCTATAAGCACTACTGACAACAGTGCCGCTTCTAGTGTTGAGAGGGTAAAGGTTAGTGAACAACAAAAGTGATGATGTGTCGGAGTGGAAAGTTGTAATGGTGTTTGATGCGACCACGGGGTCTCATCTACAGCCTATTCGATTAACCAATGCCGTAAAGAAAGAGATAGGAGAAGTCACATTAGCCCGGTTCTTGTGTAGTGTATTTAATATTCTGTGCTGATCATGTTCAGCATGGGAAGATTATGAAAATGAAAACTCCCAATGGGAAGAAAATCATGTCCCTGGAGCTTCAGCTAAGGTGAGTGGTGTCATTTCTAAAATCACTCATAATGTCTCTTATACAGAGGCTGCTAATGGTCAGGAGTTTAAGAAATATGTAATTGGTTTAGAGATCAAACCTGATGAGATATGTGTTCAAGAAACATGGCTTAGACCACATCTTGATTTTATTAGTCCTGGTTATTGTTCAGTCAGATCTGATAGATCAACTGGACAGGGTGGTGGGGGTTGTGCTATAAGGGTTCATAAGGCAAGGTATTGTATATCATAATATACCTGTCCCATCTGAATACAAATGTGTGATGGTGGAAATCTACAGTGCAGGAAGTAGTATTAAGTTGCTACATTTTTACAACCCTTGTCATCAATTATCTGTAGCGATGTTTGATGAAATATCAGGAGAATTGGGCTCTGGAGAGATATGGTGTAGCGACTTTAATGCCGATAATAGTTTATGGGGAAGTGCACATACAGATGCTAATGGTACTATTGTGGAAGATATTATGGAATAATAATATTATAGGGGTTACATCCTGCCTGGACGTCACACTGGCTTCTAACTCTAGAATATGCTGCTTCTGTGACCTCTGATTTTGAGTGCTGTGAATGTATATGTGCCAGTGAGTGAAGTGGGTGAGAAAAGGAAGGTGGTTCCTTGGTGGACTGAAGAGTGCACTGCGGCTATTCGAGAAAGAATTAGGGCTTACAGTGTCGCGTCGGAATATGACTCCTGGGAATCTACAGTCGTGGTCAAAAGTTTTGAGAATGACACAAGTATTGGTCTTCACAAAGTTCGCTGCTTCAGTGTTATGAGATATGTTTTCCAGATGTTACTATGATATACTGAAATATGATTACAAGCATTCCATAAGTGTCAAAGGCTTTTATTGACAATTACATTAAGTTTATGCAAAGAGTCAATATTTGCAGTGTTGACCTTTCTTTTTCAAGAGCTCTGCAATCCACCCTGACATGCTGTCAATTAACTTCTGGGCAACATCCTGACTGATGGCAGCCCATTCTTGCATAATCAATGCTTGGAGTTTGTCAGAATTTGTAGGTTTTTGTTTGTCCACCCGCCTCTTGAGGATCGACCACAAGTTCTCAATGGGATTAAGGTCTGGGGAGTTTCCTGGCCATGGAACTAAAATGTCGATATTTTGTTCCCCGAGCCACTTGGTTATCACTTTTGCCTTATGGCAAGGTGCTCCATCATGCTGGAAAAGGCATTGGTCGTCACCAAACTGTTCTTGGATGGTTGGGAGAAGTTGCTCTCGGAGGATGTGTTGGTACCAGTCTTTATTCATGGCTGTGTTCTTAGGCAAAATTGTGAGTGAGCCCACTCCCTTGGCTGAGAAGCAACCCCACACATGGATGGTCTCAGGATGCTTTACTGTTGGCATGACACAGGACTGATGGTAGTGCTCACCTTGTCTTCTCCGGACAAGGTGTTTTCCGGATGCCCCAAACAAAGGGGATTCATCAGAGAAAATGACTTTACCCCAGTCCTCAGCAGTCCAATCCCTGTACCTTTTGCAGAATATCAGTCTGTCCCTGATGTTTTTCCTGGAGAGAAGTGGATTCTCTGCTGCCCTTCTTGTCACCAGGCCATCCTCCAAAAGTCTTCGCCTCACTGTGCGTGCAGATGCACTCACACCTGCCTGCTGTCATTCCTGAGCAAGCTCTGCACTGGTGGTGCCCCGATCCCGCAGCTGAATCAACTTTAGGAGACAGTCCTGGCGCTTGCTGGACTTTCTTGGGCGCCCTGACGCCTTCTTCACAACAATTGAACCTCTCTCCTTGAAGTTCTTGATGATCCGATAAATGGTTGATTTAGATTCAATCTTACTAGCAGCAATATCCTTGCCTGTGAAGCCCTTTTTGTGCAAAGCAATGATGACGGCACATGTTTCCTTGCAGGTAACCATGGTTAACAGAGGAAGAACAATGATTTCAAGCACCACCCTCCTTTTAAAGCTTCCAGTCTGTTATTCTAACTCAATCAGTATGACAGAGTGATCTCCAGCCTTGTCCTCGTCAACACTCTAACCTGTGTTAACGAGAGAATCACTGACATGATGGCAGCTGGTCCTTTTGTGGCAGGGCTGAAATGCAGTGGAAATGTTTTTGGGGGATTAAGTTCATTTTCATGGCAAAGAGGGACTTTGCAATTAATTGCAATTCATCTGATCACTCTTCATGACATTCTGGAATATATGTAAATTTTCATCATCAAAACTGAGGCAGCAAACGTTGTGAAAATTAGTATTTGTGTCATTCTCAAAACCTTTGACCACGACTGTACTTGATTTCCAAAGGAAGAGAGCTTTAGTGGTTAGGGTCATTAAGTCTGTCAAGAGAAATGCATAGAGACAGTTCTGCTGTACAATAGGCAAGGGTACTGAGCTGGGGGATGTATGGTCAATGTTGAAGAAGCAGACTGGAAGAAGCAAGTCCACTCGAATTCCAGTTTTGCTTGTGCGTAAAACAATGGCTGTAACTGATGAAGAAAAAGCTGACTTGTTGGGGAAGACATTTGCTAGGGTACAAACTGTGGTTACTTTGGACAAAGTACAGTGCATTCGGAAAGTATTCAGACCCCTTGACTTTTTCCACATTTTGTTACGTTAGAGCCTTTTTCTAAAATTAAATTGTTTTTTTTTTCCCTCATCAATCTACACACAATACCCCATAATGACAAAGCAAAACAGGTTTTTAGACATTTTTGCACATTTATAAAAAATATCACATTTACATAAGACTCAGACCCTTTACTCAGTACTTTGTTGAAGCACCTTTGACAGTGATTACAGCCTCGAGTCTTCTTGGGTATGATGCTACAAGCTTGGCACACCTGTATTTGGGGAGTTTCTCCCATTCTTCTCTGCAGATCTTCTCAAGCTCTGTCAGGTTGGATGGGGAGTGTCGCTACACAGCTATTTTCAGGTCTCTCCAGAGATGTTCGATCGGGTTCAAGTTCGGGCTCTGGCTGGACCACTCAAGGAAATTCAAAGACTTGTCCCGAAGCCACTCCTGTCTTGGATGTGTGCTTTGGGTCGTTGTCCTGTTGGAAGGTGAACCTTCGCATCAGTCAAGGACCTCTATGTACTTTCCTCCATTCATCTTTCCCTCTATCCTCTGTAGCTCAATTGGTAGAGCATGGCGCTTATAACGCCAGGGTAGTGGGTTCGAACCCCGGGACCACCCATACGTAAAAATGTATGCACACATGACTGTAAGTTGCTTTGGATAAAAGCGTCTGCTAAATGGCATATTATTATTATTATTATAGTCTCCCAGTCCCTGCCGCTGAAAAACATCCCCACAGCATGATGCTGCCACCACCATGCTTCACTGTAGGG